GTATCGAAAAAATTAATACGGAAATGTCTCGATTTCTCCAAATGAAACTGTTAGAAAATACAATTTTCCACCATTTTTACGATACAGATATGTATTGCGAACAAACGCCTACAAACCTGAATTGGAGTACACAAATGTATCGGTTTTGCATTTGCATCGCAAACAAACAAGCCCTAGAAACGAGTAGTCAAGTATATAATGCTGAATTGCTGATGTAAATTAAAAATGAGTTCGTATCCGTGCCCGTACAGCGCACCCCACTAGTGCCCCGCATGCACATCTGAATGTGTATTAGGAATACCTCCCGTAATTGTTATTGGGAGAATATACAGTTGTGATTAGGGGTGTTCATGAAAAATAAAAAAATCGAACTGTAAAATGCGGTTAATCAAATTGATCAGTTTGGTTTTGATTTGAAATTTTTGAAAAACCAAAAGATTGGTTCAATTTTCGGTTAGTCTATAAAAAAACCGACGATTAACCGAACCGATCAATATATATATTTATATGCATATTTTATATACTTTTAATATACATCACATATTTTCTATATATTATATATAAATATATATTCATTATATATAAATATATACTTATATTATATTTGTAATAATCTGTTTATAAATATATTATATATCATTTATTATTTATAATGTAATATTATACATATATTTATATAATATATATTATAAATATAAAAAACCGAAAAACTGAATCGGTTAAAAACCGAAACTGATGAACTGGTTAACCAATAATACCGATTTGATTTTAATTTGGAGAAATGAAAAAAGCGATACCACCCATTCAATTTACAAAATATAACCATAGTTCAGTTAAGCAAACCGTGGACATCCCTATTTGTACGATATCCTGTGGGGTGCGCTCTGGGGTCCGCAGATGCAAATTCGCTCCACAATTAAAGACCAGAAAAAGTACATGCAGGCGAAATCAGAAAAAAAAAATAAAATAAAATGACGTTGACTTGAAAATGCAAAGTTACAAAAAAATAAAATAAAATGACGTTAGCTCAACTGGCATTACTAAAAACTAAGATTTTTTTTTATTGTTAATAATAATTAAATCTTAAGGCAAATAAATCTCAATGAAGCTCAACTCTCGATCGGGTTAGGCCTTTAATTATTATTTACATAACTGGAGCAAACAGGGGAGTTTCCTTACATGATCTGGCATATGTTGCCACGTGGAAACATTGTCACTCCAAATCCAAGATGTTCATAAACGGGAGACCCTTCAGATTGGCCACTTGTCAAATATTATGGTTTACATCAGTTCTAATGTTTTAATAATAATAATAATATAATAAGCTTGCCCAAAAAGAGGGGTTTGTTTTATCCACGTGTACAGGACGAACCCGTGTGATGCAAGGGAAGATAGAGAGAGAACTATCATAGATAGATAATGAACAAAAAAAATTTAAGCTTGAACATATAAAGGGTCTGTCCTTTTTATTTTTTGATTGTAATTCCTAATATGTACAATTGCAGTGCTTTCTCACTTGAACCCGCATTGACGGCAGAATCTTGACAGGTCGACTTGGAATAACCCAAAGCTGACAAGTACTTAGTAATGAAATGCTAACAATTGGGCCTCTAGCACCAACTAATCCAATGAGTCGCCATTGTTGGTGATGCTATTTCTACTTGGTAGTGCAATGAACTTAATAGATGGACAGCCAAAACATTAAGTGAGAATGAATTGCCCCTCCCTTAGAAATGAAATTTCATTCTTGCCGATTTTAATTTTCATTCCCAAATGCTTAAATTATAAGGCCCTGAAGTACAACTAGCAAGAAAGAACAACACAGTCGTCTAAACTTACTGAACCAAAGTCTGCATGAAATACACACTAGCTTACACTTCTTATAGCAGTGAGGAGGCTAGGAATAAGCATGATACTAGAGCTTATCATCTGTGACCAAAAAAAGAAAAAATTAACTACCATAATCTTTAATAAATTAATTCAATACATTACAGCCTAATTATGCTGACTTTTATGCCCTTCTGCTCATGGAAACGAAGACATTAACAAACTTTGTTTCCTCCTTGGACATGCGGTCAGCTAGGATTTCCCTGTACCTCCAAAACAATTCGTCCATTAAAGCCTCCCCAAAGTGATAAGTAAGCAATGGTTCTGCCACAGCTCTCACACATCTGGTTAGGATGTTTACACCTCTGAGCTTGTCATCTTCGTTACTACCAGGCTTGTCTTCAGAATTCCAGTTTTCCACAGAAGTTTCTAGTCTATCAATGTCAAAGGATCCATCCCTTCCTATCAGTCTTTATTTCACTTGGAGATGGTGTATACTGGGGCACATTAAACGTGTCCGCTTTCTCCTCTTCTATTAGTCCCTGCATGCATATAATTAGGGGTGCTCATCAAAAATCCAAAAAATAAATAAATAAATAAAACACCAACCTAATCCGAACCAAAAATATAATATATAAATATATTCTTTATTATTTATAATATAATATATTATATGCATTTCTAGTATTGTTTTTATTATATATTTACGTATTTATTTATAATATATATTAGGGAAATTTCCCGATTAGTACTCTGTATTTTGGGCCTAGTGCCATTTTGGTCCCCAAACTTTAAAATGTGAAAATTCAGTGTTCGAACTTTTAAAACATGGCAATCCAGTACCTCTTGTTAATTCGTTGTTAACCAACTGTTAAGTGGCATTTGAAAAAGACATAAATGCCTTTCAAGTGTCATCTAATTTTCTTTATCAACCATCCAAACATTGATAAAAAATTAATAGTCTCAAATCCTTGCCTCTTCTCTTCAAGAAAGTTGGGGTCACCAGAATGCCCACTCAAACGTGACCCCAACTTTCTTCAATGGAAAATGCAAAGATTTGGGACTCTTAATTTTTTGTCGATGTTTAGATGATTGATAAAAAAATTAAATAACACTTGAAGGGCATTTGTGTCTTTTTCAAATGCCACTTTAGAGTTGGTTAACATCTAATTAACGGTACTGGATTGTCACAATGTAAAAGTTTGAATACTGAATTATCGCACTTTAAGGTTCGGGGACCAAAATGGGCACTAGGCCCAAAATACAGGGTATTAATCAGAAAATTTTCCTATATATTATAAATATAAAAAAACTGATGGACCGAACCAGTGCAAAATACGGGGTATTAATCAGAAAATTTTACTATAGGGATCTTCGCTCTTCCTACCCAGAAGTGTTAAGATCATACGCCCTCCTGGAACCAACTCCTCTGAGCGTGACACAAGGAATGTCGAAAAGTTTCTTTCAAATTGCTCAAAGTATGCTCTGAAAACGCTCGGAGGGCTTGTTTTCGCCATGTAAATGTTCCCCTTATTATTTTCTAGCCTTTGAGGAACCTGTCATCACCATATATATATCATCAAAATATTACAGACTGAACGTCTAAACTTGTTATAAACAAAAACAACAGTCGATCGACTACCTGAGACAGCCAATGCAAGCTATATGAAGAATGAACGAAGTGAAGACTCTGGCTTGGGAAGAACCTACCATAGAAAGAGCCTGGGACTCCAAATACGAAACATGGCCCAAAATCATCACCTGTGTCTTCCCTCAGTTTCTTGTAGAAATCCGGCAAGGACCCGAAAAGAGTATTGAAGTCATTCCCTGGAAGGTCGTTCAGGAACACCTTAAACTCTGGGGAGAGACAACCCATCTGGCGATATTTGCTGTGGATAAGTTTCATAAGATCAGAGACCACCGACAAGGTGTTGGGTCCGGAGGAGCAGCCCAAGTCGGCAATCCCAAGGCTCTTGGGCAAAGGGGTCCAACAGAGATGGAGTATGGCCTCCGCAATTATAGGCTTGGCCATGGAAATGGCCTCTCCCTGCACAACACAAACATTCAGTTAACCAAATTACCTCTTAATTACTCTGTGATATATGGCAAGAAGCTAGATCACTGAATTGCTTTGAGCAAATTAAAGAAGCAGATGGTATAAGTCAGCTGGGGATACCTGGAGAGATGAATTACAGGCATAACTGGTTTCTCCCATCCCTCCATTCATGTGGAGAATTTGAGCCACCTCCATGGCTTTGTCTTTGATTTTTGTTTTTCCGCTCCAGTAGAACAATGTCTGACTATGTATAATGGAAGATTGGATGGTACTCTTATAGGTGCCCCACATGCAAATCTCAGAGTGCAGTAATTGGAAAAATCTATGGGGAGATGTTCTCAATACACGGTTTGATGTGCTGTGGGGTGTATGTGTGGAGCATTCTCTGTGGATGTTCCCGATGGGTATCGCGATCTGAACCTTCCATCGTCATCAACTATATTGGTGCTCTAACTGAAGTGAAGGCGTCACACTGTATCAATCTTAGAAGTTACTCTTGACAAGAACAAGTTTCCTCATTTTTCTCTTCAATCAACATCTTTTCTGGAAAGGGGTAAAAAGGGACTGCCTCTCGTGCGGTATTGGGTCTGGTGCGCCAGAGCATTTTCTACACATTTGAACAAATAGCTGACTAGGTGTGCTTTGTCATTTAATTCTGAATTGAATTATTTGCTTTGTCATTGGATTCTGACTTTGAATTATTTGCTTTGTCATATGTATATTTAATTTAGGGTAAATTACAAACACCCCTCCTGTACTAAGGTCTATGACAAAGACTCCCCTGACCATGAGACGAAGACCCCCTTCCCTTAGCGTTTCCTTTAAAAAGCCTGTTATAATATTTTTTAATCCCTATATTACTCTTGTAATAACTATGGAGATAAGAGAAAAAAACCACTATTAATCTTTCCCGACTTCACGATCCTCGATCCTTTTTTGCTTCAATTCATAAACTCCAGTCCCCTTGAAAATGAACGAAGAACCTTCAATGGCGTCGTCGACATTTGCATTCTCATCGATAACATGGAAGGAGATCCGTAAACGTAAATTACAGAAACATGGGTTTCTCGTAGTAATCATCATCTAATAAGAGAAGAGATTTAGATACATTATTTTATAAGAGACATCTGGTTTTAAGTTCTGGAGATTAGAAAGGAACAAAAATTAAACAGGGATTTAGATACATTCTTTTTGAGCAAAATTAACACTAACTTTCAGATCTAATTACTCACCAGCGTTTTGTTCTGATTTCTGAAGCAAGGAGTTATTTTTTGCATACTGCATGCTTCCAACGATGTTACCAGCAAAAACACCGCTTCGACAAAGCACACCGGAATGACTGGGCGACGACTGCGTCGAAGATGGGCAATTAGAAACACATTTTTTCCTTCGTGGGTATTTCAAGTTTCCAGAGAATGAATGAGAGAATACACTGTTGTTCTCTTTCCTCGTACTTGAAGCAGAGGTTTCTCTGTTTTTCCCGGACGTCTCTGTCCTCATCGCAAACGAAGCCACTGTTATCATCACCGCCGTCTTCTGTTGTTGTTGCTTGTGTGATAACATCTCGTATAAAGGTTTCACCTTTTTCAAATACTTCCTTATCACGTCCTTGGCCGATGCGCTCATCCGCTTCACAGAAGGACCCGATACATTCTCTTGATCTCTATGCTTGTTATTGTCTCTGCGAAACACAGAAGAGAACCTCACTAGAGAGAAATACTTGGATTTCTTGATCTGTGGGCTCTGATGGTGATAATTGTGGTTGAGACGCTTAAACTCGTCTTCCTCGACCACCGAGCTCGGCCGCGATGAGTCACACTCGGTGAACAAGACGAGATCACCGGAAAAAGAGGAGCTAGAGTCATTGGAGCTGCCGGGCGAGTCTCGAGAAGCGGTGGTAGTGGAGTCGGAGCAAGACGAAGAGCTGGACGAGGCTAGAAGGAGAGTTTGAACCATGGAGAGGCGGGGGGAGAGATGGAGAGTGAGAAGCTGGCCCTTGTAGAAGATCTCGTCGGCTGGACAGAGATTGGAGGAGGCCATTCGAGGGGATAGAGAGATGGTCAACTTGAAGTCTGACGAAGAGGCAGTGTGAGAGAGAGAGAAATAACATAAAAGAAATTCAAAATTTTCAAATTCTATTGTGGAGGCATACCAAATGGAATGAAAGAAAGAGCAGAGATACATTCATCGAGAAATGATCAAAATAAAAAATAACAATATATATTTCGTCGCCTGAATCGATTCAGTGAGTGAATAGGTTTTAAGCGAAAAAGGGCAAAATAAAGAAAAAAAAAAAAAATAGTAGGATATTTTTGTAATTTAACGCATTGGGATCTTTATCACAAAACAAAGTATAGTGAGTTTTAGTCACAGACACACGGGACAGGAGGGTCTTTGGTAATTTACCCCTTAATTTAATTTATTTGTTTCCTCAAATATACATTCAACGAATTCAGGTTTAAACTTTTTCTTATTTTGCTATTTGTTTTTCTTTGGCTTAATCTCCTCCTTTGGGAATCGTGCTTTTTTGTTTTTATCTTTATTAGCACACTTTTTGTCCCTTAACTCTCCTTTAAGCTCCAGTCCACTATCTATTTTCGAACAAGCACAAATCTGGCGCCTTAGACCACTCGTCCAAATTGTCTAATAAACTTGGTTGCCTTTAATTTCTTTTAGAAATCATATTTAAAACTCCATTTTTTTTTCTGAAAATCGTGCCTCTATTAGAAATATTTTTTTTTTGTCTTATTCGTTTGCTAGCTTACCTGATTCATGGGAACCAGTAGTAATTTCCTTGAACCTTTCTATAAAAAAAAAAAAAGAAAACAAATCAAGCTATGATACGTCGCGGGTACTTGAGATCACAGTCATAGTACTGAACAATGTAGTAATCTCCGGGACGAGATAGAGAGATTCATCCGTCGCGGGTACTTGAGAAATTTTGTACAACATAATAATAATAATAATAGGGCAGGTCGGCAAGGGGAGCATGGAAGAGATGCCCCCGAATCCAGCAGCAGGCCAGCCGAACCATCGCAAAGACAACCTTCGGAAGAGGGGCCAGTTCGGGGAACCATTCACGTGATAGTGGGAGGTTCAGTGGTAGCAGGTTGTACTTCGGCAGCGGCCCAGACGTCAATTCGCGAAGCAGCCCGAGAAGAACAGAACCCTCCAAAGAGGTCGGAGATGGAAGAACCAATCTTCTTCACGGAAGATGATGCACAAGGTGTCCACTACCCCCACGATGACGCGCTTGTCATAAAACTAAGGATTAGCGACTTCGAAGTCAGGCGCGTACTTGTGGAGTCAGGTAGCTTGGCAGACATCCACTTCAAGTCGGCATTTGACCAGCTTCAGTTGCAGAGAAGCGAGTTGAAGCCCGCGAACACTCCTCTGGTGGGCTTCAGCGGAGAGGAAGTCAAGCCCCTTGGGAAAATAACAGTACCTGTGGAACTCGGCACATGGCCTTGTGCGGTGAGACTCAACCACGATTTCCTGGTGGTCGCGACCCCCTCCCCAAACAATGCTATAATAGGGCGGCCAATTACGCATGTTCTACGAGTAGTGGTCTCCACCTACTACCTGGCAATGAAGTTCCCTACAGACTTCGGTGTGGGGGTAGCGCGGGGCGACCAGCTTGAGTCCCGCAAGTGCTATGTTGCTGCCCTGAAGAGAAAAACCAAAGTGGTCGACGACCTCGAGCTGGAGCGGCCTACGGAGCAGGGCGAGGAACGAGCTTCGCACACAAAGGAAACGGTCGCAATCCCGACTTCGGCTACGGACCCTGCTCAAACGCTACAGATCGGTGCTTCCGTCAAGGAGCCTCTACGAACCGAACTGGTGAGTTTCTTACTTCAAAATTTAGATATTTTTGCATGGTCTGCGGCCGATATGCCCGGTACTGACCCTAGCCTTATAACTCACAAACTTAATACTGACCCTGTAGTCATACCCATTAGACAGAAGAAACGCAACTTAGCCCTGAAGCGCTGAAGGGCGGTCGACGAAGAGGTCGAAAATCTTCTCGCAGCAGACTTCATAAGGGAAGTTCATTACCCGAGTTGGGTAGCCAACCCAGTGCTGGTGAAAAAGGCAAACAACAAGTGGCACATGTGCGTCGACTACACCGACCTGAACCGAGCTTGCCCAAAAGACTGTTTTTCCCTCCCTAGAATTGACCGCCTAGTGGACGCGACCTCGGGACATGAGTTGCTAAGCTTCTTGGACGCCTACTCAGGCTACAACCAAATCAGGATGGACCAGTCCGATGAGGAAAAAACCAGCTTCATAACCAAGTTCGGCCTGTACTGCTACAAGGTCATGCCCTTCGGACTGAAGAATGCTGGGGCGACTTTCCAAAGACTTGTGAATAAGCTGTTTCGGCCCTTAATTGGCACGAAAATAGAATATTATGTAGATGACATGGTCGTCAAGACGCAGTTTTCACAGGAATTAATACAAGACTTAGATTCTGTCTTCCAATTTCTGCGTCAATTTAGCATGAAACTGAACCCAAACAAATGTGTCTTCGGTGTCACCTCGAGTAAGTTCCTAGGGTACATTGTCAACCGGCGCGGTATTGAGGCCAACCCGGACAAGATAAAGGCCATTCTAGATATGAAACCACCCCGAAAAGTAAAAGAGGTTCAGAGGCTAAACGGCCGCTTAGCCGCTTTGAGCCGCTTCATGTCCAAATCGGCAGACCGCTGTCTGCCTTTCTTTAAGGCAATCAAAGGCAAAGGGTTCGAATGGACCTGAAACTGCCAGCTTGCATTTGACGAGCTAAAAAGCTACCTCGCTAGTGTGCCAGTCTTAGCTAGGCCCAAGGAGGGCGAGGTCGTAGAACTGTACCTCTCGGCAAGCGACGAGGAGTTCGGTACTAATAAAAGAAGTCTATCGGGTCCAGCGGCCCATCTATTATGTTAGTAAAATTCTACAGGGAGCAGAGACGTGATACCCGCAGATAGAAAAGCTGGCATACGCACTGGTAATTGCAGCTCGGAAACTCTACCCATATTTCTAGGCACACATTGTCATCGTCTTGACTGACAAACCTCTGAGGCAAGTCTTACTTAAGCCCGAGGTTTCCGGTCGGCTTACGAAGTGAACCATCGAGCTCAGCGAGTACGACCTCCAGTATAAGCCACGAACTGTTATTAAGGCCCAAGCCTTAGCAGATTTTATCGCCGAGTGCACGTTCAGCCTCAAAGTCCCTAGGCCGGTTGAGCCCGAGATCCCCAGTTCGGGTGAGACCGAAGCTCCCAAGCCAATAGAGTCTGAACCCCGTGAAGTAGCAGCCAGTGTGGCATCTCTCCTGGTTAGGCGAAACGCGAACTGGGATGAAGAGCCCTAGATCCTTCACGTAGATGGCTCCTCGAACCAGTAGGGCAGCGGGGCTGGAACAGTGCTACGCGGCCCGGGTGGCACGAAATTGGAATACGCACTACGCTTTGAGTTCACGACATCCAACAACGAGGCGAAGTATGAGGCACTGATAGCCGGGTTGAACCTAGCGCAAAAGGTAAGAGCAAAACACATAGTTATCTGCAACGATTCCCAGCTTGTGGTCAACCAAGTTATGGGCGAATACGAAGCACGCGAGCTCACTATGATCGCATACTTGGAAAAAGTAAAGGAGGCTCTGCTCAACTTCCGGTCACACTTCATCAGAAAAATCCCAAGGTCAGAGAACACTGTGGCCGATGCCCTATCTCGGTTAGCCAGCACGAGTCACAACACCATGAGAACCGTGTACATAGAGGACTTACCTCGGCCTAGCATTCTCGGTGGGGCMGAGGAGGTSGCTCCCGTCCTTGAAGCAGAGCCGAGCTGGATCGATCCACTCGCGAGCTTCTTGTTAGATGGAACCCTCCCTGTGGACCGCAATGCAGCCAGTAGGGTGCAGCGGCAGGCAGCCAAATACGTCATAATAGATGAACGGTTGTACCGACGGTCCTACACGCTGCCCTACCTACGTTGCTTGCGACCTGCCGAAGCCGAGCTCATACTCCGCGACACTCATGAAGATCTGTGCGGCAGACACTTGGGGGGCAGAGCCCTCGCCCAAAAGGCACTTCGACAAGGGTACTACAGGCCAACGATGAAGGCAGAGGCCATCGAGGTCGTTAGAAAATGTGACAAATGTCAGAAGCATGCCAATATCCACCATCAGCCTGCCGCCGACCTCAAGTACCTCACCAGTCCATGGCCCTTTGCACAGTGGGGCATCGACCTCCTGGGGCCATTCCCGCCAGCAACAGGTGGGAGGAAGTTCCTAGTGRTAGCGGTAGATTATTTCACAAAGTGGATAGAAGCTGAACCTCTAGCAAAAGTTACAGCCCGAAACGTACTGAACTTCTTTTGGAAGAACATAGTATGTCGCTTCGGGTTACCTCGGGTTCTGATCTCCAACAATGGCATGCAGTTCGAGGATATCAAGTTTCAGGAATGGTGCCAAGATATGGGAATCCGGCAGAACTTCACATCGGTCGCACACCCGCAGGCAAACGGTCAGACAGAAGTAATGAACAGAGCTATCCTTCACGGACTGAAAGCACRACTAGACCGAGCTAAAGGGTTGTGGGTGGACGAGCTACCAAGTGTTCTATGGGCTCACCGAACCACGGAAAAAACCGCCATACGAGAAACCCTCTTTAACCGCACCTATGGCACTGAAGCGGTAATCCCGACGGATATCAAAATACCTACACTGCGACTAGAAGCATACGATGATCAAACAAACGGAGATGAGTTACGCTCCAACCTCGACCTACTGGACGAGGTAAGAGACCTCGTGTACATCCGGACCGCAGCTTACCAGCAAAAGGTAGCTTGGTACTACAACGCCAGAGTAAAAAAGCGGAACTTTCGCGTCGACGACATGGTTCTCCGTAAGATCATGGCACCCGAGCCCGGCGTGGGCAAACTTGGACTGAATTGGGAAGGGCCCTACCGAGTAAAGACAGCGCTCGATGGGGCATATGAGCTCAAAACTTTAGAGGGCAAACAAGTACCTCAGGCTTGGAACGTCGTTAACTTGA